TCTCAGATCCCAGTATCTGGTCCCGACGCTACACGGAGATGGCCATCCCCTTCTATGAGCTGGCCGAGGTGCGAGTGGGCTACCAGTCACAGAACATCTCCTGCTTCTTCCGGATCATTGATCGCGACTCCATCTGGGGCTATGAGCTTGGCCTCAAGTCCCTCATCCCCACAGTGCTCACCATCAGCATGCTGGGGTACCCCTTTGTACTGCCAGATATGATTGGAGGAAACTTCCTTCCCAACAAGACAGATGGGGCAGTGGAGATCCCCGACCGGGAGCTGTACGTGCGGTGGCCGGAGCTGTCAGCCTTCATGCCCTCTATGCAGTTCTCCATCCCGCCCTGGCTCTACGACAAGGAGGTGGTGGAGATTGCACAGAAGTTCACAGAGCTCCACGAGTCGCTGGTGGCCCCGCTGCTGCTGGAGCTGGCCGGGGAGGTCACCGACACGGGTGACCCCATCATCCGTCCCATCTGGTGGATCTCACCCCACGACGAAGCCACTCACAGGATCGACTCCCAGTTCCTCATTGGTGACACTCTCATGGTGGCCCCCGTCCTGGAGATGGGCAAGCAGGAGCGTGACATCTACCTGCCAGCGGGCAAGTGGCGCAGCTACAAGGGGGAGTTGTTTGAGAAGACCCCGGTTCTGCTCACGGACTATCCCGTCGACCTGGACGAAGTTGCCTATTTCCTCTGGGTTTCCTAATAGGCTCCTCCATCAGCCATGCAGTGGTCTCAGGGATGAATAAACCAATGACTTTAATGACTTGGGAATTTTAATAGTTTTTAAGTTAGAAATACTTCAGCATGACATTGTGTGACCTCTGTTTTGTGTGGCAAGTGCTGTAGTATAACTCACTTACTAAAATATATTGGATGGCAATGTACAGAAACACCGTCTCTGCTTGTAATTGTTTCCCAGCTAGAAATGCCATGCATGCTTCTGGTTTATAGAGGAAATTACATGGACTCCTCTGTTACCCAGTTTCACAGCTGATCCCTTGAGATATTTACAATTTCATTTACTTAGTGAAGGAGGCAGCTGCAGCAGATTACTTTTTTTACAAATAGTGGTCTGAAGAGGAAGCCATCCAATTTTCGGCCTCCACATCAGATAGGTGCTAATGCAACAGCATGGGGAGTTTGCATTTCCCATGGCCTGAGCTATCTGAGCAAGGAGAATGAAGGTATAGCACTTGGCAATGTTGTGGCAACCATTTCCCCCCTTTCATTGGAAGAAATTATTGAGAACCATGTCTGCGGTGTGGTTTCAGCGACGCCTGTAAGCATGTGGTGAAATGTCATGGCAGCCAAGATTAGAACCTAGCACCAAGTCATGCAGGGATAGGACCTAATAGGATCCATGTGTATTTTGGGACTGCATTTAGAGCCAAGGGGTGCAATCCATGAGGTCCCAGGAGAGAACTCAGCTGTCATTCTCCTGAGAAAACTCAGACAATTAACAAACCAGCCCAAGTGCCCTTCTGCCTCCATTTGCCCATGGAAAATATTATCCCATGCCACTAGCTATATTGATAGAGATCCCTGTCCATGAGCCGGCACCCTTCTGCCAGTGGAGGTGACTTGTCCTGGGTGAAGGTCTCTCAGCAGCACCTGCAGGCTTGCGGGGTGGGCAGGCTGGCTCTGAAATGCTCCCCACTCTTGGTCCAATCTTCCCTGAAAACATTCTTCCCAGCAAAGAGAAATTTAAGCAACACGACCGAGCAGTTTAGGAGAGTCCTGAGGTCTCTGGGCTGCAAAGCCCCTTCCCAAAGCAAGAGACTGATTCCTTTGCTGACCCCAGTGCACTTCTAGTAGGCACCTGGGATTTAAAGCTCTGTGTGGCCCCAAAGCAGGAGAAAGTTCCTTTCTTAGGGGTTTGCCTCAGAGCTGGTCCATATAAAAAGTAAAGGGGGTGGAGAACGTCGCACTCACTTCAGATCTAGTTTGGCACTCAGGTGAAAAAGCCCCAAAACTAGCTCAGACCCCCGTCGCCCATGAGTGGGTCCATTATGCCACAAGGACCCTGCATAGTCATAGAATCATAGAATCATAGAATGGTTGGGGTTGGAAGGGACCTCAAAGATCATCTAGTTTCAACACCCCTGCCATGGGCAGGGAAACCCTCCACTACACCAGGTTCCCCAAAGCCTCATCCAACCTGGCCTTGAACACTTCCATGGATGGGCCATCCACAGCTTCTCTGGGCAACCTGTTCCAGTGCCTCATCACCCTCTGAGTGAAACATTTCTTCCTTTTATCTAATCTAAATCTCCC